CCCTCAATCACCTTGCAGCATTCTTCGACTTTTTCAACTGACCCCCACCCCAGTGTATCCTGTCGTCCACAAATGGCCCAAAGCTCATTTCTGTGGGACTGTAACATTTTGCGTGCTGTCACTCCTAACCGTAACTTATTTTAATCTGAGAGCTCAGAAGGCACTGTGTAGCTCGAGTGAGTGGTGATTGAGCGTCGATTGACTTTCACTGCCAGCACTCATCAATGTGTGTGTTCTGCATGAGTGAGAAAAGAGACCAAGGCACCAGAATACGAGCTAAGCCCGAGTCAAGTGCTCTCAGAACGCTGCTCATCTCCAGGCCTGCTAGTTAGCCACAAATTCCCCCTGCACTCGAAGTGGCCTCGCTTTTCAGGCCCTGGTTGGACACGATGGTGAGATTTCACGTGATTAATGAGAATAAAAAGCTCATTCCTGCTTCATAAGGCAATAAACACGCTGGTTGATACCATTTTTTGAGCAAACAGTCACTTATTCAGCTGCCAGTACTTCCTTCCCCCAACCAATCCACAAATTGGCAGCAAAGTGTGGTATGAACAGCCGCTTTACTCAAGTTTGCCAAAGTTTTAGCCTTTCAAAATGACTAGCATATAAGTTGTTCTGTAGCCCGCACCCCCTGTGTGTTTCTGTGCCCTGTCACCGTATCTGTTGCATGCGCCCCCCCCCCACCCTAAGGCTGCCTAGGAGGTATAAACATGTTAATAACATTGTTGTTGATTCTCTTGAACGTTTCCACCAGGCTGAAGTTTGAATAAGTCTGTGCTTCACTTCCTCGCATCAGCCTTATTGTTTACTTCTTTCACTGATAAGAGTAAGGCTGTGATTCATTCTACATTATCTCCTTTCCTGTTTTATCTTTGTATGTTCCTCTGAATGCAGCAAGTTTTCTGTGAAGATAGCATTATTAAACTGTTGTTGTATTCTGCGTGCTGATATTTAGAGAATGGAAGTCATCACTCATTTGCAACACTAGCTGACACGCTAGAAGTGTCAACCTAATCTAATAACTGAGACTGTGATCTCCATCAGGAACTGGTGACACAGTTGAGTAAACCGGCCTGGTGTAAAGCAGCTTAGTGCAACTTCCTTGTTGTTTCCGATGACCTGACTGACTTACTGATACACGTTTGCCACGGCAGAGCCTTCCTCAGCACAGGTTGAGCGATCTGAGCATGAACAAGTCTGAGCATGACTGATGCCGTGGACTTGGGTGTGTCGTAAAGCCGGTGACATTTACGGAATGAGACACGGGGTGATTGATGCACTATGAAGTTGGGAAGGAGTGTGGCCTGCAAATCACCTTTTACTACTGCAACACACACACAAAGATGCAGATAGATGGCGTGCAGTAAAGGGCACCCTATCTTTTTGATGCTGTCGTAAATTCCCGTCAGTTACCTCGACATGGAATGCAGCAAATGTTCCTCCAGGCCGGTTCCCACATCCTCTCTTAGTTATAGTATCACCAGATTAAAGCCCCAGGTTACAGCAACACCTCCTATCTGTATGGTCAGCTGAAGTGCAGGGAGTAAAGGTCAGGAGTTGTTGTGTGCTTATTGAGTGCTTATTGCTGTGAACTGTGGGACTAAAGGCCACACATGTTTACTTTTTATTCTGCAGACACTTCTCTTTGCTCGCCCCCGCATCTAGTTAGCACATTTTTGGGCTCTTCAAATCAGTGCTACAGCTGCATTCAACACGGTCCACACACAGCCATACGCACCAAATGAACCCCTGCAGGCCACGGATGTATAGGTCATAAAGCCTGCTGCCTCCATGTTAACAGATGGGACAAAGAAAACAATTAATTACACATCAAATACATTTTTCGATGATTTATATCATTTTATCATGTATTTTTCTGATCAGATCTGATCAGGTTTTAGTTAGTTATTTGAAGCTATTAAAAGGTTTCAGGTCATGATTGACAGCTAAGCCTTGCTTGTGATTGTGTCGTGCAGGCGTATGGGCTGGACTTTAATACCGTGGTGCCAATCCTGATCACTACTAGACTAGACTCTGGCTGGAGTGGTAAAAGAGGGCAGCGACTGCATCCGGGATATTTTGGCAGTGGAACTTTTTAATGCAACCAGAACAGTCTGCATTTGTGTTTATCACCGTTCCTCCGTTGTAACATCCAACGTTATAGCCCTTGAGATTTTTCTGACAATCAATACAACATCACAAAACATTGCAATAAGTGTTTTCCAATATTTTCTTACATCGCTATTACGTATGTGTCATAGAGTTGTCTTAAACCAATAACACAGATAGTTTTGCCAAGCTTTTGCTTACCCCGTTTCCAATCTGTTGAAAGGTTAAAGTAGAGTTTAAAATGTCTATAGGAAAAACCACAACAATGATCAAGACTTTTATTTGATAAATGCACGGCACAGACAAGAAATTAGAAGTTAACAACACTCTGTGACCTTGAGGAACCTATTTCATGTAATGACTCGACGATAATGGGATAATAAATCATAATCCTGAGAAAATAATGCTTTGAGATAATGAGATCAACACATTTTTGAGTAACCTTGGTCGACCCAGCCTCCATAACTCACTTGCTGGTAGTATCCCATGTATTGATTACCTCTGATAATTAAGGTACTTGGGTCTTTGTAAATTCCAAAATGTTTAAAAAAATCTTGGGATGAAATAGACTCCTTCTGCTTCTCTACTGTCACTTTTTCTCATCCTGTCCATGTTTCTCTTCTTTTTTCTGTCTCCCCTCCACCTCTTCCCTCCCTCTCACCCTCTTCCTGTTATTTCATTGAGGGTGGCTAAAGTGCAGGAATACTCAGAACAGCCCATGTGCAGCTGACTTCTATTCAGAGCTATAATGGCTGAAGCTGTGTGCAGCTGAGCCCTATTCAAACCAGAATGGCTCCTCCATGAACAGTTGATTTCTTCCAAGACGCCCAGTTCCGCCACTTGAGCCGTCTGCCTTCGTTCACCTCCTCTCTCCTGACAGATTTCTGAAGTTAATCTTTCCTACATTACAGTATCGCCAGCCCTCATGTGTGCGAGAGATGGATTGTGCCCCTTAAACCTTTCTCTTAATTCTTGCCCAGGCTGCTGTGAATAAGCCTCTCATCTGACGTTTGTGATGGGCAATATGGATAAAGATGGTGTGACCAGTATTGTTTTTAGTGTACAATCACCTGAAATCTTTGGGCTCTCGTTGCCTTCTTCTTCGAAGTCCGCCATGTTGAACTACCATGTTTCTAATGTAGGCCAGAATGGACAAACCAAACATGGCTCTGCATAGGGCCTTTTTTGCAAGTTTTGTGGCCACTGTAGTTTGTCCTACACACTTCACAGCCTGTTCTCATTCCCAAGTCTTCAAATACAGATGTGAGAGGTGATCAGTTGCTTGCAGTCTGCAACGTCACCACTAGATGCCACTAAATATAACACACTGGTCCCTTAACACTTAAGTGTTTTTAGACTCAAGTATAAAAAAAATCCTCATAATTTTAAACTTTTTTTTTTAAACTGTAAATAGTTACACTTCCACTGAATGAATTACTATTATTCATTGATAAATTAGGTGATAATATTCGATGAATTCTCTAAGTTGAATAACGTTGTAGTCTTACATTTAAGATGATGAGCATGCATTTGAATTTTAATGTGTAAGTGAAGTTTCACCCCTTTGATTTATATTTAAGACTAGACTCATATTTTTTAAACTTGCTACTGGAATCCAAACATGTTGTGTTTTTCAGTAAGTTGAATAATGGCTCATCCCTGCACACACTGTAGATGCTAAGGTTCACAGAAAAAAAAGCAATTTTCAGAAACTTTATTTGGCGTGTATTTCTAAATTAGCTATCTATTGGTCTATTTTTCATGACTTTGTTTTTATCTCTGCCTTCTGCTTCCCCTGGTCTCCTTTAGACTTTAGTTAACTGTTTTACCTTCATGTTATTTTCTTTTTTTTATTTCCTTAAATAAGCTTCAAAGCTCAGTATTTTTTCACATCGCTGCTCATCTTGCCTGCCTCTCCTCTGTCCTCCCTCTGTTTGTCCCAGCTCCTCTGGGGCTTCTTGTTCGTCGTTGTATGGAGTGCAGCCTTTAGCAAGGCCTGACATTTGCTGTGCTGCGAAGGGGGGGCAGAGGTGAAGTGACTGGACTGTGGCGTGGAGGGAGATAACATAGCAGTGGAGAAATCTGCTGCATTACTAATGAAAGCTGTTTGACCCAGTGTACCTGCTCCCACAAAGTTTGAGTTGAAACATATTCCTGCTGGAGTTTAATTTCAGATAGACTTTTAATTTGACTTTTAATTTAGTGCTGACTTCTGGAAATGGACAAATTCATTGTTTGCAAGCTGGTGTTATCTTTCAGTTGGCAGAATTCCCCATGGAGCCCGACTCTTCACAGTCCAAAAGGCTTTAGAAAGCTGTTAGAATTCGATCATTTTCATTACTTTACTTTCTTTACAGTCGCTGTGTACAGGACGGTGATATGTATCTGTATATGTACCATTCAGTTAACTAGTCTACAATTTGTTTCTTTCTTTTTTTTTTAAGTATTATTTTTTTGGCCTTTTATGCCTTTATTTGACAGAGATAGCTGGAGAGAGACAGGAAAGGGGGGCAGAGAGAGAGGGGACGACATGCAGCAAAGGGCCGCAGGTCGGACTTGAACCCGGGCCGCTGCGTATATGGGTTGCCAGCTCTTACCGACTGAAGCTAACCGCGGGTGCCCTGAAAGTGCTGTTTTTATCATCTATGTCGGTGAATTAAGGATTTATTTCCACCCAAACCAAGAGTCGGTGATTGTTGGAAACACACAAAAAAAGATGGTTTTGGTGAATTATTATTTAGGTTTCTGTTCCACTCTGAATGAAGTTACAATGATCTGAAAAGGTAAAAGAGGTGAAGAGTGATAGTTGATATTACGGCTGTTTTGTGGTTAAACTAAAAGGTCTATCTCTGTATGGATCCTTTCCATAATGCTGTCAGACACTGACAATAACAATCTGAAACAACAACTTTTAGTGGACGTACGTTTAACAGACTAACAGACCATTGCAGTCCTTTCCACAAATATTTTCAAATGTAACTCTGAATTAAAAGTCTATTTCCACCAAAATTACAGTATCCGTCTGTATGGTTGGATATTGTTTAAAGCTTTTTTTTATTAATATAAAGAGAATTTCAGTACGTTACCAAAATAAAGCTTCTGACTTTGAGAAATATTACTTTTTTTATCCAAAACTAAATTTTTCTGATGATAAAAGAAGCTAAACTTCTTGTTAAATGTGATCTGAACTCACACAGTCTGAATAAATATTACATTATACTATTTAAATCAGAACCTTTATGACCAGACGTTCAAGGCTAACTTTTGGGACTACACGTTTCAGCGGGTACTAAAGACATACTGAGGTTTGATACAAGCTCTATAGTTCAGGCTCTAATTAAATTAGTTGGCTCTTCCTTGTGTTGACCAGGTTTGCCTGATTTTGACCTTCTCCACGCTACATTAAAAAGATGCAGGAAGATGTAGTTTTGGGGATTTACACACTTGTAAACATCAATAATCAGTGTATTGTATCTCTACATTAATGTTACCTCTCTGAATAGTGCTCCGTAGAAGGTGACTGTGTAGAAACAGTCCACTGTCCTCATAGAGATGTCCAGGTCCATGAGCAGCCTCTTCTGCTCCTGAGTGTTCACTGTGGCCCGAATCCGCTGAGGGAGAACAACAGGAAAAGGTTCATAACGACCCTCGTTCCTGTTGATATCTTCATGTTTTTCGTCTAGTAAAACAGATTATATGTACAGCTGTACAGACTGGGTCAATGTTGCTCTTCTTGTACTTTATCTTTTTTTGTGATTTCATCCTTCGTCTCCATTACCATGAAATAATCTACCTGCCGGTGCACTTGTTTGTGCAATGCTTGACTGGACAAATAATTCAACTTAAAGCTGCAGTAGGTCATTTTTATAAAATAATTTATTGCTCAAACTTTCACTATATTCCGACAATAGAACATGAGACAGATAATCTGTGAAAAGATCAGGTTCCTCTGGCTCCTCGTAGTGCCCCTAATGGCATTTACAAGAATCCACCAAGCCCGAACAAAAACAACCAATCAGAGCCAATTACCAGCTTTAACCTGAACTTCCCCTCTAGACGTTTTGACTATTAGTTCAATTCAATGCATGTTACCTACATGACCTTAAAGGGAACTGTTTACATACAGGCCATTTTTTACTTTTAAAGCTGCAGTAGGTAATTTGAACATAGAAAAAAACTTTGCTCAAATCACTCCGCTAAGCCCCTCCCACCAGAACCAAAAGGGAAGAGAGAGTGGATGACACTCAACAAAAGGGCCACAGGTCGGACTTGAACCCATGGCCACCACAGCAGGGACTCAGCCTTGCTACCAGTTCTACCAGGTAAGCTATCATGGCGCCCCGAGAAGGCTGTAGTATGGAAGCTCAGAGCTGCCCTCCGCTCACCTTCACAGCCATGATCAGACCACTTGGCACGTGTTTCATCTTGTCCACCACGCCGTACGCTCCTCGGCCGAGCTCGCAGATCAGCTCCAGGTCATCTGCCTTCACCTCAAAATTCTGCTCCGGACACGACAAGAGAGCAAAATGAGAGAGACAGTGGTGGAGAGAGAAATAAACAGAGCTGTGGTGACAGAGACTGAACGCAGGAAGAGTCTCTGATCACACCTACAGCTGCACGGCAAAATGTAAAGAAGCTCTGACATCTATATCACTGAACAGTCTCAAAGAACCCCTGCCAATGGAAAATTCCACTTCTTTGATGAGTTTAAAATAAATAATGTTACTGCCTGATGGGCAATAAAAGGCATTCCAGTCTCCCCACAATCAGAAGTGTTCAATTCGGCTGTAATGTTCACCGGGGCGTTCTTTACGGCTGACAGACCCTTTATTAAGCCAACCTCTGTGCACTGAGACAGAACTTACTAAACCCAAAATGCGCTGGGAGGAAGAACAAAGTAAACAGTGAGTTATGTAAGAGTCCAAGGTAAAAACTATAAACCTTAAATGGGATTGGGAAAGGTGCAAAGAAGTAAATATGTCCCGATCCAAAAATGAGCGGAAGAAATGAAATTACCTTCTCTCCGATGGTTACACAAGCTTTCGAATCCAAATCTCTGGGGGGTCTGAAACACACGGACAGTTTGTTTCTTATAAAGTGGTTACAGAAATACAATGTCAAGAGTTTGTCCTGTATGAGTGGATGGAAACTACAAAGCACTCGCTCATAATGTTCTTTCTAAGAGGACAAAGAATGTGGTTGAAAGGTCCAGAAAAAGCTGAAAAAAAACGATGTTACAATTTGAAAATAAAATAAATGTAAAAATGATAAATACTTAAAATATAAATATTAATTAGAAATTAAAAAAGTAAATTAAAGAAATAAATAATTGAAATAGTGAACCACAATTTAATTAAATCAGAAAATTTAAAAAGCAAATAAATAAAAAAGAGAAATAATTAAAATATTAAAAATATATAAAAATTAAATAAAATCAGAAAATGTCTAAAGTAAAAAAATACATAAAATATTAAACAAAATAAAAATAAAATAGAATAACAATTTAAAAAGTTCATAAAATATGTATTTTATATAAATAATATACACTAATAGAGTAAAAAAACAAGTCAATTTGATAATATTCAAAAGGACACAATAAAAAAATTTAAATTAAATATGCAATAAAAGCAGATGTACACAGAACGTGTAATACGACTGATAGTCCGACTCTCTCATGGAGTTGGCCTGAAACCAGAACCCCTCTGCTGCTGCTGCAGGTTTGTTAATGAAGATGATTCACTTTAAGACGCACTGAACATTTAGTTTCTGTGCTGCAGTCTGAGCTTCACGTTAACAAGAATGAGGAGACAAAGGTACAAATGTAAATGAAAATGAACAAACGAAATGAAAACATGTACATGTTTTACATTAACCCCTTGAAGGCTGATGTAGTCCATATGACATGATGATCAATACTAACCCTCTGCACAGATTAAAGCACTGCATATGAGGAAGTGTGATTGTAAACTTACACTGCGGCGGGAGGAGGCTGCTCAAACACCTCCTTGGAGAGCTTGAGCAACGGCTTCCTCTTACCTGGAAACAGAACAGAACATCATCAGAGGTGAAACCTGGAAACATGGATCAACAAAAAGAGACAAATCATTACAAAGCTGACATGTTTCAACCACTGTTGGTCTTCATCAGGGCTTTAAACAAACACCACAGGTGTGGCCTCGCCTTCATAGAAGCACCGGCCAATATGAGGCAGTCACCTGACCCAGACAATGACATAACAGGTGAAACAAATGACACAGAAAGCAGTACAAGCACACATACAGTGTAAACTCACACAGACATACACAGCTCCCTGCAGTAAACGTGTCTACAGCTACTTTGCCTTCAGTGGAGTCTGCCATATTGAACCACCATGTTTTTTCGGTAGCCCAGAAGGGACTAACCAAACACTGGCTGTATTACATAGGGGAGTTTGTTGTTGCAATCTGTAACTACACCACTAGATGCTGCTAAATCCCTCACACTGGACCTTTAAGTGCTAAAACCTTAAGAATTACGGCTGCAACTATCGACTGTTTTCATTATTGACCGATATGCCGATCATTCTCTCCATTAGTTGATCAGTTCCCCGAGCTCGAGGTCTTAACAACAGCAAATCCATGAAAAGTTTGGACTTTTGATTAGGACATTAACATTCTCAGCTCTAGCTTAATTGGAAATAACAAATAATATTTTCAATATCAATTCGTCTAACATTTTCTCAATTAATATATTAGTTGTTTGGTCTATTAATATTGGTTATTTTCCAAAGCCCAAGGTTTTGTCCACAACTTAAAGATATTCAGTTTA